GCCTCGCTAGGGCTGAGTAGAGGATCACCTCCCTCGATCTGGTGGCAGCTCTCTTCTCGGTGCATCCCCGGATCCCATTGGCTTTCTTGGCCACAAGGACATACTGCTGCTCTTATATACCTTTACAAGATTCCCTCTCAGACATCTCTTCCCAAGGTCGAACAGGCCCAGTTACCCCAATCTTTCCACACAAGAGGGATGTTCCAGTCCATTAATCATATTTCCATTCCACTTCATTTAATCTGGAATATTTCAGATTCTGATGTCTTAGGGAAGCAAGTGTTGGTTTTGAAAATACTAATGATGGCTGAAACAGCAGCTGTAGTCTGAGGGATTATTGGATTACATGGGTTTCACTCTCAGAACTGTTTTTTTTAATACAACAATATAAAGGCATATGCAGCTTTTGTGCCTTGCATGAACTACTGGCCTCAGCATGAACTCTTCTGTCAGACTGGAGGAATTCTTTTTAAAAATTAAAAAATAAAGTCACTGCATGTGTAGTTTTTATATGGGTCTCAACTCTGATGAATTGTATAGACATCAAGAGACTCCATAGTTGTTTCTTTCTCAAAGTAAATAGCAGTATCTCCCGCTCCTGCCTTTCCTGGGACATCTCCTCCTACCATGCAGGTGTGAATCCACAGAAACCACCACTGTCAGTGACACGACAGTGAATCTGAGAAGATAGGCTGACTCATCTGGAAGCAAAAGATACAACTCAGGCAAATGTGCGTATGCGTGCATACACTCTTCCCTACCTTACACTCTGTGCTTCTGTCAGTACACCTATAAATCAGTTGTATGCCCACTGCTTGGAGGGCTTTCCTAAAGGGGTTTCAAACCACATCAAACATAAAAGAGGTGCTCAACAAACAAATGTCACTGGGATACAATTACAGGGAAAAAAACCTCAGGCAGTTCCTCTCTGTTGCCCTGTCTTCTCTCTGTACTGTCTGCCTTGGAAAGCCAAGGGATCAGTAAAGAGACCCTATCGTAAGCAAGGGGCAGAGGCAAGATTGCTCTGGGAACCTTCACTCTAAATTTCCTGAGTTTAGGGAGATTAACATCACAGTCGCCACACCCATTAGTGTACATTGTTGTGCATATAGAACATGGTCTAGGAAAGTGTATTGTTCCTAAAGGAAAAGATACACTATTGGGTAAATAGGTGTCTGTGCACATTTTGGCAGCTCTAAGTGACATAATTCAGTTCCAATCAATGCTACTGGACTTTGAAACCCACCAGTATTACAATGAAGCGGGAAAAATCATAGAAAAAGTCCAAACAAACTCCAAGTTATGCTGTATGCCCTACTATTCTGAGTTTCAGTGTTGAGACAAAAGAAGAATAAGAGTTTGCTATTTGCTAGTTGTTAAAAATCAGGAGATCTGCCAGACACACTCTTTGAGGGCTCTGTCTGTCTGGACCAGGTAGATGCTGAAATACACAAAGCGCTTCACACACAGAGAAAGAAAGATTGTTCATGGACAGTGATGCAGCTTTCTTAATTAAGATTTTCATTACTGATACATACATTAAGGTTTTTCTAATGCAAGTGCCCAAGCACTCTAATGTGCAGGTAGATGCCTCTGATTCTATCTCTAGAAACCCTTTTGCACATCCTTGCAAACATTCACCAACCAAGGTTCAAAATCAGCCCACCTGCCCTTTGCTATAATGACAATGAAAAATAAAAAATGATGTTGTACTTGTCTGCCAGATGAGAACTTAGCTTTTTGCAGTCATGAGAATGAACAGGCTTTTGCAAGGCTGTACTACAGTGTATTGAAACTGATTCTGATCTCACATCTGTTTGATGTTGATGTAACATCAGGAGCTTCAATAGCATGAGTGCAGCAAATGTTGAAGGAAAAGAAATGGAAAAGAAAGGTAGGTAAATGGAAAATGGGATGAAACAAAACATGAGTTTGCCAAAGGTAGTTTGCAGTCAACTAACCAGATAACTTTCTTTGATAAGATAACTGATTATCCAGACAAAGGAAACACAGTAAATTTAATTTATCAGTAGAGCATTTGATACAGTATCACAAGGGAAATTATGAGTGTAGATAAAGATTTGCAAAAGGACTGTAAGGTGAGCAACTGCTTACCTGAAAGGGAGATTGAGCAGTGGTGAAGAAAGAATTATTAGGTAAGGTGAGGGCTGTATTTCCCCAGTTGTTTGGTTAAATAAAATACCTTTTTCTATCTAACAAGATTTTGGTGGAGCAGGTAACATTTCTTTACAAGGCCCCTCAAAGGGAGGGGGCAAATATGAGGAAAAAATGGGGGCATGCTTAACAGCTATAAAAAGATCCATCAGCACCAATAAATTGCTCATTAACAATATTTAGTTCTCATTCACATGTAATGTTCAAGTGTTATTTCTCTCTCAGTTCCTTGGGATGTTCAAGGATGCTACAACTGTCTCAACAGTTTACTTGGACAGTTTACGTAAATATCTAGCTCAGTTTTGTGCTTTTAAAATATTCTTAGGACAGGATGCCCATTCATCTACAAAATCGTGCTGAATGCCTTTGAATTCTGGACCTTGCCTCCCAAGAAAATGCTGCTAAAGTAAGATGTGGAGGAGAAATACTTGGTGATCAGAAGCACTCACAAAAGCATTGGTTCTCTCTGAACACACTACGTGCTTTTCTAGATCCAGTCAGGCTATGACACTTTGTAAATTCCTGCAATAGGAAAAATTGGGCTGCCCACTATCAGAGTGGCAAGGTTGCACTGGCACAAGCTAGAAGGGAAGGTGAAGACATTGCCACAGAAGTCACAGTATCCACGTGAGATTAAATTGCAGGCTCCACAATAAAACATCTGCCAAACTATTTTCAACAAGTTAAGAAAAAACAGGATTTTTGACAATCTTCCCTGAGGCATGTCTCAGTCTGCAAGTATTTGAATGACTAACATTTCTACCTTTCCATTAAAGTTCACTGGAAGAGAAGCTGCATTTTTGTTTTAGTCTTCTGTGGCAGAATTTAAGTATTTAATGTCATGACTGGACCATATTAAGCATGCACAGACATTCACACAAAAAATTTGCCCTAAATCCTAAAATGTAGAAGATTTTTTAAATGCAAAAATTGAAAAACAGTGTCTGAAAACCATCATTATTCAGAGCTGGTTATATGCTGATCATACATTGTAGTTCTCCTTCACAACCTCCAGTGCATATTGCAGAGCATCCACAATGTTACACATTATTTTTTGTCTTTTATGTAGAAGTGGCTTTACTGCAAAAATTGAAAAGCAATTAATCTCTTTACAGACATCCAGGATAAGTGAACATGGACAAATATGAAATTTAAATACAAATTCAGATCCAAATGTTGCAACTGATCCTTACTTAGGTGATTGGGTGAAGCATGAATACTTCTAAATTGCATGCTATTTCAAGTCGGGATTTCAATTTTGTCTTTGAAAATTCAAGCTGTTTAGAGTATGTTTAAGAAGCTAAAACTTTAAAAAACATCATTCTGAAAACTGATACAGCTATTCTATTAAACTTAAAGCTCAGTACAATAGAATGGGAGAGAGCAAGATCTGTTCAGATCCAAAAGCATTTGCTTTTGATAGTGTGCAAAAAATCTAATATTTTGGGCATGCAAACACATGAAATGACAATATTAGCTGGGGGGCTGAATTTGTGAACCATATGCAGCATGGTATTATCCAATATGATGGAAAGCTTCAGCAGCGAACAAGAACTTTATAGGAAATAATCATTATTTCTCAATACACTGCGATCTTTTATGTCTAAGAGTTCCCATTCCCACCAAGAGACAAAACAGCCTTCATGAAGTATGGCCTGAAGACTACTCACATATGTTTTGACGTCTGCACCTGTGTAATGGCACACAGAAGAGCTACATGGCAGATGATTTGCTTCTTTTTTAAGTGGGTGTGTCAGAGAGGAAAAGGAGATACAGGAAATCCTCTTACAAGCTCATTTTCCATTGTGGTGTCTCACCTGCCTGAGTATTCATATCTTGGTGCCAGCTTCAATAGACAAATCTACGATGTCTTGATCAAAAGGTGACTTTTGGAAAACATCCCATTTCTGGATATTGTGTTTTATAACAACCACTCCTCCAGCACAACGTGTTCTTGGTACTGTATCTAGCTTATACATTTGATGGAGACAGATACACAACATGATGCTGAAGCAGGATACATCAAAGAGGATTTCTGCACTAGGAGAAAGACTCATAATAAACCTTGGAAAAGAAAAAGACATTTGGTGATATAGCTGTAGAACAGCAATGTGCTTGCCAAAGTTGGAAGATAATTTACCATAACTACAAAGGGAATATTCTGAAGAACTCTGCCACACTCTGTAGTTGTTACCATTTTGCACAGCGATTTCAACCTTATAAACTGGTCTGTCTTAATATTTTGATGATTGGCGTAAGAAATGCTGCCACTGCTTCAGAAAGGTGGTCTTTTCCATCCAAATATATTAAATTATGCCAGTGTGGGGTAAGCATTGAACAACTCCATTTTCTCTCTTTTTTTTTCTAGTTAAATCTAAAATATTATGCTCCTACAACTGTCTAGTTAAAGTGCCTTTTTCTTCTGTTGTATTCTGTAATATTTTTAAAAAAGCTAACACTCAATACATTATATTACACTAAGTAAATGAAAATAGCTCAGAACAAGGAGATTGCTAGTATGCATAACGGCAGAAAGGTGTGACATTTTCAGCTGTCATGCTGGCCAATCTTGAGCTCAATCTCATCCAGCATCAGCGTAGGTACTGTAGGTTGCACACATGCCTCTATTGTAATCCACACATCAACTTCACAGCAATGTGCAGCCTTTATTACTTGCTAAACAATTTGAACGTCAAGACTTAAACTAATGCTTGAATGAAAAACTGGGACCAAATTTTGATTCTTTTTGTAAATCTGGCTACATCTTGAGTTTTCTGCATATTTGGTCAATTGTTATGACAGGTATTTTAAAACAAACGTGTGAACTTTGACTGATTTGTTTTAAATAATGAGGTTTTTTTTCCCATGCACATCTATTGCTTAAGTTCATTTGATGGCTACATCTTCAGATAAAGAATAAAGCTTAAAATTGTGTCACTGCTCAAGAACATTCATCCCAAGGTGTACTCTCAGTTATATGGTTTCATTTCTATAAATATACCAGAGTAGAATTTCAGTTCTGCTGTCATTTTGAGGCTGTTTCACCATTCCTCTCATTTGCCTCCGCCCATGTTGTTTTCTTTTTTGGAACATTCCCTTCCTTCATGAGACATATAATAGCTGGGGAAAAAATATTCCTTTCCGGTCTCAGATTACTGTTTAGGTGACCATTCGCTTCCTGAACCTCCTTATTTTCAGAAGGAGACCAACCGATTCTTCTGGATAATTTGCGTGTCTATTTATTACATTAATTATGATAAGTCTTGAAAAATGCTAACTCTTGAAAGCTGTTGTAAACGTAAGGCTTATTGAAGTAGACTTTATTGGCATTTTGAAAATGTTCATTTCTGATTAATGAATAAGCTTGACCTGGAGGTTATCCTCTTCTCTAGTAAGGGAGAGCTTCTTAAGAAACCTGAGAAAAGATGCCTTCTCCCTGTTCCTGATGTAGCAATCACTGTTGTTGTTCCTCATTCGCAAAACAACACTAAGCACAGAACCAGACTAAGGGATTCAGAGGGGGCTAATGAGTTGCTATTTCATGATAATGGTTCAGAGTGGTAACAGACGACAGTTTGGTGGGGAACAAGTACCAAAGCAGGGACATATACATAGATATCAAAGAGCATCATCATGTCTGATAAAGTCAATAAGGATTCTCAGAAGCTGTCTACTGGTAGGCTGGAATACTGCCGGGTGTCTTTTGACATACAAATCACTGACCATATGATGGATGGTTCTCATAACTATGATGAGATCAGTAAGATGCCTCTCAGCTTCCCTTGGGTCATCATTACTTGACCAAATACATCTTCATGAAGTTGGGGAATAAATGGTACTTTTCTGCACTTTTTTCCTTATTTTCTTTTTTCTTTCTCTCTTTTTTTTTTTTAACCGTTTTTAAACTAGCATGTCAACTACCAAGAATTAGCATCAGTGCTAAGTCTGATAGGAATGATGCTGGAGCTCAGTACAATCTGGTTACACCAGAAATCTATTTAAACAAGATGGACAGATATCCACGGAATTAGGTTAACATGTCCTGCAACTTCCTTGTATCTGGATAACTTTGGTCTGCTACTGATTTGCACTTACCAACGCTAATTGCAGGTAATTTTTCAATATTGTATGGGTTCCATCTGAACAAGTAGTTCTCTGGAAGTAAAAGAATTGTAAGAAGTGTCCTGCTATAGCTATTTATCCTAGTGTAGCTATCTCTCCTACTGTAAAGCACCTCAGTAATGTCAATACCGCTACAGGCTGGTTGGAAGACTTCTTCCATGAAAATAATGGTTTTGACAAAGAATCCCAGTGTCTCTCAAAGTCCTGAGGATATTCAAGGGGAGCAGAGATTAACTGTATTCTTCTTCAGTGGGAATATAGTCTGGGGGAGAGATCTATGAAATCCTTCCACCTTCAAAACCCTGATGCCATATAATTAAGCAGACATGTGTGAAACATCTGGGAGAAGGATGATGACTGAATCATCAGCAAGCTGTGGGAAGGGATATGAAAAGAGATCCCAGTGCTGGACACTGAGACAGAGGGCAGAACAAATCAGTTATCTAGATCAGAAACATGCTTGTACATGTACAGGTACATTAAGAGCTTCTAAGGCGAAAATGTCCCATTTACTTTTTTTCTGTTACCAAAAAGAACCCAGACTATCAACGGCCCAAAGGACCTGCCTTCCAGAAGAAAAGGGGAGAGCCAGTACAGGACTAGACATGCCTGAAATATAGTAGGTCTCCTACAGAGCTTGCTAATTTAGGAATGGAGGAGCATCAAGAAGCCCTTCTTGGCCGTGGAATAAGCCTGACTTAAAGAAGCAAGTGAACATGGGATTCTAATCTCACATGTCAAAAAACAAAGGCAGACAGATGGAAAGCCACAAATGCATTGTCACACAGCAAAGCACTGTCGAAGAGGTATTTCAGCTTCAAGTTTCCACATGCCTACCTATCATAAAGCCAGCTTGCTGCTACCACCTAACTGCCTTGCCCTGCAGAGGTAGAACAACACTAAACTGGTGCATTGTGCAAATGTTGAAGGCACATGGTGTCTGCCACAGACATAAATGGTTTTGCCACTGCTGTGAGAAGCCTTAACACAAGCAGTGTTAACACTTCCCCTCCCTGAGTATCATTAATGCTTTTTATTGATATTATGAAGTCCTGCAACAAAAGTAATAGGATTTGTCAGAGGCTGTTATAAACTGCCCCTGCCGGATAAATACATAATACATGATGCCAAAGGTCCGATGGGCCTCTAATCAATTGCCTTTCTGAGTCAGATAAATGCCACATTAGGCATAAGCCATGTTGCATTCTGTGGGTGCCTATGCTCCCCTCATCTCGCAGGCCTGACACCGCCACAGGCAGCTATAGACATCCATAAGCTCCTACTTATTTGTAGCAAATATATCAGAGCAAAACCGGAGCAGCATGTTGTAAATTACAGATTTGGGACACATTATAATGAAAGGCAAAGGAGCAGGGAAAGAAATATGGAGACACCATAGGCATGATAGGTCAACTCAAATATGTCTCCTTGAGAGCTGGTATTGTCATATCATGTTTTGCAGCCGCTGCAACAAATCTCATCTTTTTGCCCACAGGGTAGGGGAGAAGGCATCGTGCCAATTTCTTCTGCACTGCAAAAGTAGTGGGTCAACTTTAAATGTTAAAGCCACATATTTTAGGTCTAGTATCAGGAAAAGAACGCTCTTTCATAGTTTCAGCAAGTACCTTGAAACAATTATGAATGTCCATTTGCACTTTTGCATCCCTTTCAAGAAATTCCAACAATCAAAACACAACTTGAACATAAGTTTACAGAGTTGCAGGTTTAATTCCTCTCCCAAATACGAAAGAGCTATTTCTCTTACTGCACTTTTTTTTTTTTTTAATTCCAGGCAGCACTTTAACAGTCATCTACTTTTCTCTCTGAACAGGTAGGAGACATGAATTTAAATTGCAAAGTGGAGATCTGAAGCAACACAAAGTCCAGGTGTATTTGGACATAGAGTTCTAAACCTAAATTTAAAAGGCCTCATTATTTTTGGCATTCACTAAATAGCTTCAGCTTGGACATCCCAAAACAGTGGCTTAAAATGCTGGTGGACATTCGGAAAACTTTGGTCTTTACTTAACTATAGTAAATATTATGAAGTGGTAGTGCTATATTTCCCTTTATATTTCAACAAGAAGAGTCATTGTTTCAAAAGCACTAGATTTCACTGCCAATATGTATGAAGGAATCCCAGAAAAATGTAAGTTTTTGTACCAAATATGCAAAATCATCGTGTGTCAGAACCTGACAAAATTAAAACTCAAATGATAGCAAACACTCCCAAAGGCTTCATCCCTTATTCCCCCCAAAGAGGAAAAAAAGAAAACTTAAAAATTAAATTAATTCTTCCTGTTCTGGGTCTTGAAAACACAATTATCTGGAAAAACGTAGTATTTTCTTCAGTTAAAAAGGTCAGCAAATCACCAAACTACATGGCAGCAGCCAAACTCAAGTGAATATGACTAGGTGAGAAAAGAACTCTGCATAACAACTTCCAAAGAAATCGCTGACAAATTTTTAACCCTGATATTGTGGCATGTCAATAAGAATACAGCACATTTAATCTACTCAGATAAGAAGAGCAGCTCAGAGAGCAGCCAGGACTGGGTAGGGAAGGCTCCCACACCACAGGTTCAAACTTCAGCATGGATAGGTTACAATGCTAGTTGCTTTGCACTTGCACAGCATGGAATACTTTATATTTCATTCTGAACTAGAACACAACATAATGTCCATCAGAACATGTATATCCCCATATATAAACAGAAATCTTCCATATTGTCATCCAGAAATGCACATATAGATTTCAGATCGATCAATCAATCAATCAATCAATCAATCGCACAATGTCACTGAACTACAATCTGGGTCCCATCAGATGACACTGCATTAAAATCTTGGACTGCACTAGAATAAAAATTCAGTATTGAGTCTTGTGGCCATGGGAAGCAACAGGGGCCCCAGGCTGACTCTGACGGAATTCGAAGAAAAGGCACAACTTACAAATGTACAAAATGTTACAAATACTTACACAAGAGACAAGGAAAGACTCCTCTGGAGAAAGGCCACAAGCTGATTGTGAGTAATCTGAGAAGAGAAAAAGAAAAAAGGAAATCAAATTGTTAATAAACACACTAAATGATACCAACATAACAGTATAAAACAGGGATGAAGGAGACTTACATAAGGTGACAGTTCCCACAGGAGAGGAAAAGAAATGTTTTAAATTTACAAACAAAATAGATCTTGGGTCAGGTAGACCCCAGAACTCTGTAGCTGAGAAAACTGGTAATCGCTGAGAAACTTTACAGTCCTGGGGTAATTCCAGGCCACCAGAGACTAAATATGCTCTGGTGGCTGTTCAACAGTCTCCATGAAATAGGCTTGTGGCTCCTATGGACAAATGCTCTTATCACAAAAGCTAGATTTGAACTGCATCTTTCTTAGCAGTCACGCCAGATGATACAGGACTCCGAAACAGAACTCGCCTTCTTGATCCTGACCTTCACAGAAGAGAGGTTAGGCTTATTATTAGGGCTGAGAATGCTCACATTACAGCTGATAGCTGCACAGAAAAAATGTGTTTTCTTAGTTCCTTCTGTCAACACAGTATCTTTTGGACTTGATTGATTTGTTACCCTGAGACCCTCAAGAAAAAAATGACTGCATGAAAGTGGAATGGCTAAAGGTTTGCAAACTTCTGATAGACTACAGGTCTACTATGGAGTATCTAAGCTTTATTGCCAACATGTTTATTTCCATATTTATTTCCAAAACATAATAACCTGGGATGAAGCAATAAACAAAATTAATCAAAGCCTGATGCTCTGAATTGTAACAAGAAGACACACTCCTGTTGGACACAGAAAACAAAAGCAGATGCTCCCCAAATGTTCAAAGCTACAAATCAGTCCTGTCTCCCGTTCCCTTTGCCAAGCTGAAAAAAATTGGGTAGTCAGGCCAGACAGTGCTCTCCAGAAGATTTTTATCAGGGGACCAGGAGCAAGCACAGTGGGAAACGACCATAGGAACCATGTAGTATACTCCATTACTTAAGACATGGCTCTCAACTTCTGCTTCCTGTCTAGTTACAGGGAGAGATTAGCTCTCTCATTCCTCAAAGCAATTAAAAAAACTCAGAGAAATATAAACCTGAGTTAAGAGAGTGAAGGGAAAGAGAAGAGCTGTCACAGGGGTGAGAGGGAAGGCAGGCAGAAAATCTGTTCAGAGTTGTAGCTACTATTTGTGGGAATTAGGGTTTTGGTAGAGGAGAATGTGAGAGAAAGTATGTGTACAAATCCAGTGTTTGGCTTGCAAGAGAGGTGAAAGAAGTTCAGCAAAGAGAGAGACAATACTAAAAACTGGAGGGCAGGAAACAAGATGCTTGTAACATCTTTTGGACAGGCCACACAGAGAGGTACTTTTAACAGCAAATTTCTCTTTAAAGGAGCTGACTTCTCCCCTATGTAAGGGAGATTTGCATGAGACAGAAGACAGAATGGATTCTGCCCAGATTGAATAGCTGAAATGACATCAAATGAAAGGAAGGGCAGGATCAAGCTGGTGGAGAGAAGGTCACTATCTTGCTTTACAGAATCCATTAGTCTAATGAACTGTAATAGGGAAGTTCTCCTGGTGGAGAAAAATCTCCTTTCCTAAGCACGTACCCCTTATTTTCCTCTTGCATTTCTCCTGAAGACTTAACCATGGAAGTCTATGGACTCATCTGTAATAGATGATAGTGAAGTACTGTTAGGGACTGGTAGCTGGGGAGTATTTCTTTCAGAGTTTTGGGCAGATGGGACAGTGAGCTACAAACCAGGGAAGAACCTGAGACAAGAAGAGGTCTGACCCAAAGAATGTGCCTTGGAGTACCAGAGTTAAAAAAAAAAAAAAAAAAAAAGCAAAAAAAAAGCAGGAGGCATCCAGTATGGGGAAAAAAAAACCACATAATGGAAAATTTTAGGCTGAGTTAGAGTTTGGCTCTGCTATAAGCAACATAAAACAAGGTTTCTTAAGGGAAAGCATCAAGTAATTTTGACAACATGGATGCCAAAGAATTCTACAAATTATGGCCTGAGATTCTGGAGGTGCTGAGTAATGACTTACACCAACATTACCAACAAATTTGCTCTAAGAAGTGAACAAGATTGTCCTGTCCAATTAAAACTGTAGGGTAATTATAGGCAGGCACAATATTCTAGAAGCTGCATACTAGAATCTGGCAAAATCACCAGAACTGAAACACTGTACTGTTAAAAATTGCAATTGGTCTGGACACTTGATTACTAGTTTTGTTCAAAAGAAAATATATGAAAACAAAACTTTCCCTGTAAAGTACTGGAAAAACAAGATGTGTCTGAGGAAGCTATGATTCATTCCAGGTTAGATAACTGCAGAACACATATGCGAGAGAGAAATGGGCCAAATCCTGTTCTCACTGCCCTGTGCAATTATGCTGACTTAATTGAAACCATGAGCAGAACCTGAACCATTAAAATACTGGGGTGAAACTTCTTATCATATGGAACTGTTGGTCAATAGAGACATTTAACCTAATTACATTAGATTAACACAGTAGACTTCTTCAAGATATATTATTATATGACAACATAAGAAAATGAAGTTGAAGAAAGCTGACCATTTTCCCCATGTCTCTATGCTATAAACAGAATGGTTACCTGTCTCTATTTATGTTGCTTGTTTTCAGCCCACTATGGTTCTGTTTGGTGGAATGGACAAATGGAATCCACTAATTTTTTAAAATATTGAATTCCTAGTATTAATTAATCATTATTACTTGGAAGACATTATTATCTTGGCCATTGAACAGAATAGCCAAGGGCTAATCTTAAACCTGTCCTTGCTTCATTGTGATCAGATTCTTCCCCTTTTCTCTTTCTTTGCTACATGAATAAATTCCATTTAAATCACACACTAAGAGACAAACAAGGTCAACATGTTGGAATGCTATTTAGGAATCTAGTCCCCTGGAGTTTAATGAGAATAAAGTTTCTAAACACCAAAGAATTTCTATTTATGGGAAGTTAAGATGGTGAAAACCAGTGGTATGAGTTACATTATATAAGCAGATAATAGATTTATGAGGCTAACTACTATTTTCAAAAGTGACTGAGGCATTCATGTTGAAATCCATTGGAAGCCAGTAAAATTTACCTTTGTTAGCTTAAGCATTGCTTCCTTTCGACAACACTAACAACTTAGGTGCCGAAGTAATTTCTGCAATTGGCATTCAGCTGCTCCTTACACCTTATTCACTAAGTGGCTTGAGTTAACCTGCTTCAAGTACCTTCTTAGCAGTAAATTGGGACAGCGATTCTCCTCCATTTTTGCAAAGTGATTTAGGATCTCTATGATGTAATGTAGTACACCAAGGTAAGCAATGTTAGTCCTTTAGCCCTAGACTGGGAAGAAGCAGGCTTGAAGGACTGAAGACAAATTTAGGTAATCCTAACAAGACTGTTCTTGCCTCAAAGCTTTTTCACCCTTTACTGATACAGAACCAGTGAGGGGCATAGCTTCATCATGTATATATATATATGTATATATATATATGTATCATGTATATATATTCATATACTCAGTAAATTGGATCTAAGATCCAGAGTTTTGCTTCTCCTTCTCTTCTGGGTGCACTGCACCTGCTCAGTATGAAAATTAAAATTTAATTCCAGTGGAAGATAAAGAAAAAAATTTACTAGAGAATTCCTCAGTTCAGAGGGGGCCAAATGGAACCAGTGCCATGCTGGGGGGAAAGAGCAGACTGGGCTGAAATTCAGTGGCGCCCTTTATATAATCTGAGGGGGCAAAGAGACTGCACTGCATCTCTGGCACAGCAGAGACAGATTACAGCAAAATTAAATTGAGGATTTTAGTGGATATAATTTTTGCTTTTATATATTAATGAATAACAATAATACACGATTCTAAACTGAATACCAGGTTTGACATTTAATCTGAGCGCTTATACCATCCATAAATGTTCATAAACGTCACATGACCCCTACCCTTTGATTGAATTACAATCTAGTATGCAATTTAGGAAACACAGATTAATCTACATAGATTTATATTTCTGCAGGTTATACAGTTATTTGTTGATTTATACCCTTTCCCCCTAAGTGTCTTTTCCATCGAGAATCCAGGAACATACATGCAAATCTTTAATAAGAGAGCAGCTCAAAATCTGGTGACTAGCAGCAGATGGAAACTTGGTTCAGTGAAATCTATACTAATTATCATCTGCTTTTTGAAGTTACCTCTGCTAATGGCCAGCAAAATCTTAGTCCCTGTGATATCTTCTATTACCTTCACATTACTTGTTACTACAGCCAGCAATCACCTAACATGTTTCTTGGCAATGCTGTGCAATTAAATCACCTTTCAATCAGCTTGCTGAGCAATCCAGAGATGGAAACTGCTTTAATATTAGGAGTTAATTACAAGAATGCAGAGGAAGGCAGTCAAATGTTATGTTAGCATACCAGAAATATGACAACATCTTAGCCACAGATATCACACGTGAGGTAAGGGGCCACATCAGGAAAAGCAACGTGGCAACGTAGAGAGGAAAATGACCTTCAAGTTCTCCCTTTCATTTTTTCCTCCCTGTGGTCATGCTACTGGAAGTGTCCATCTCCTTTAGCAGTCAAAATATCTGGAATTTTAGGGACCTGCATTAACAGGCTTCACTGCACAATGGTGTCTGTTTGGGGACTGGTAATGACACCTGCTCAAGCAGTGTGTCACAGCACAGACTGGTCCAAAAGGCACACCAGAGAAAACCAGTCCAGCAGATCTTAACCCGAGCACAGGCCCAATTCTGCTCCTTTTGATATCAAGCAAGTCTTTGCAAAGGGCCAACAGGGCATTCCTCTTCTTCCTCTGCATCTTCACCTCTGTGTGCCTAGCAGAAGAGGAAGCTCCACAGCCCAGCCCTTGTCTTCATGGACTCCTTCATTCACACAAGACTGAGAAGAAGGGCTGGCTACTCTGTTTAATAAGACAGGAAATGAACATCACTCAGTCGAGCTAGTGCTTGGAAAGAGATGAACTGAGGAGATGGT